AAACGTGACATGCAACTGCATAGAATATACGACATCGTGCGAAAAATATACACGAAATACTGTTATTAAAACTATATTTCCATACTTTAGTTTTAGTTATTTCATCCGACGATTCGTATGCTGTGCTCCGCGCTTCCCGTTCAAAAAAGGAGAGGAACGAATTATTATACACAAATTAAAAAGTTCAAGACGCGCGTTGTGTAAATTCAAGCAACGTTACCGAAGTAATCATCCATCGTGATGAAATAATATTTTACAATTCCCGTCCCTCGCTCCCCTCTTTCGTCTTAAATGATTAGACCGCGCGAAATATCAGCTTCGATAATCAATCTGTCATCCTATGAGTTTTACTTTGTCGATCGCGCAAGCTTATCAATCGCGTGCTGATAATTAATCGTTCATTGCAATAATCATAGCGACAGATCGCGCTTGATGTATCCCAATAACATTTGTCACGCTCGTGTTCCGAAGGGTAATGCGACCTACGCAATGCCTCGCGCCATTGTGTACCTCTCCTTGAGTCACGCCGCACGGATAACAAAGCAATGTAAACAACGCTGACCACACCGAGTGTCCAACGTACGTTTAGACAAAATACCGTTCCATGTAATGTTTAACATATCCTGTAATATAACATACGGCAAATATTTTTTTGTTTCGTGATACGCGCATCCGGAGCGGAATAATAAACTACCTCTTCCGCGCAAAATGAAGATAAACTTTGTTCTTCAAATTTAAAATTGAAAAATATTTTTTTCAGCAGAATAATTAATTACTCAAGTTGTAAAAATTAATAATAAATGACTGATAGATGAATATGGAATTAATAGAATTAAATATTAATTTATATATTAACAAGCATAAGTACGTCAACTTCATTTTTGATCGTTTATGCCTATCTTAAACTATGACCTCGATATTTTCAGGTTGAAATTTACAGCTCCAATTAATCTCCAGAATATGTGATTGAAGTACGATACTTCAAAGTGGCATATATGAATCTTTCAGAAAATATATTTTATTCTAAGCTCATTAGTAAATTAGTCAAGGGGACGCAGCGAAATTATTTATTCTTAGTAAACTTTACGTTTATATCGAAGATAAAAATGATTTTCTTACTTCCACGATATAAAACTCTCACGAGCGATCAATTTTGCCTACTTCTTGTTCTATTCGATTCTAGAAAACAATTGGCGATAGAAGAGTAACAGCAGCGTATATAAAATCTCATAAGTTTCCAGGAGATTGCAATTGTCCAATTTAGTTACATCAATCGGATAAAACCGATACGCTACAGCACACGCACACACGCACACACACACGTACACATACAGTTGATATATTGATATCTTATAATATATATTATATATATGCATATTATACATGTATATTACGAAGCTTTATATAATTTAAAATAAAACCGCGAAACTTAAATGGATGAAACCACAGAGAGGAAACTGTCTCACAACATAAGCTCTTTAAAAATGACTTGCGTCGTTTTACATGCATTTTTACATGAGTGAATGTATGTGCACGGATATATGTACTGAGACAAAGCAAACCATGCAAGCAAAGAGAAAAGTTCAAGATGGAGGAAGTTTTCCTCCTGTCGCTCTCTTAGCATTCAATTACCGTATATAGAGTGAGCTTTTTTATCTAAAAAGAAAATTTAGGAAAATCCATCTTATTAAAGAGAGAGAGAGAGAGAGAGAGAGAGAGAGAGAGATAAATTATTTCATTTTAACAATTTTTTTCAGTAAAAATTTAAGTTCCTAACTTTAATTGAAACTGTTTAATCAAATTTTTTATCAGAATATTTAATATTCTGCTATAATATCCAGTGAACTTTCTTTAGTAACATTTGATGTTAAGCTTGAGTACTAATTGTAAGTTTAAGTATTAAAAATGCAACATAGATTCCGTATATATTTTCCTAAATATTTCTTAAAAGAAATTGATTTAATGTTATAATATTTAAATATTAACATTTTGCTTAAGTTCCTAATATAAAATATTAAAAATCATTTACATTTTTAATTTAAATATTTAATTAAATTAAATAATTAACTAGTTCTAGTTTATAGCCAGTCCTATATAACTAAACCAGAAATTAAAAAATAAAAACAAAATTTAAATTGAAAGACAAGAACAGCCGTAACGTAAAAGCTTTCTCTTCTCTATAACATTAAGAGGATATTATCTGTCTGCATTGTCTGATAATAGGAGTATAAATTGCAGAAGGTGATTGAATTTCTGACAGAGAAATCTATAATAAAGAATAGAAGATAACGTAACCAAAGTAGGAACATTGCGAACGTTGCCACGAATGTAACAAAAGGACACCAGTAATGAATCGGTAGATTGTCAGTAAAGGATATCCCTGAAGTCTCCCTTTCGAACGTGTTAATGAGGATTTAATTTACTTGACAGTAGCTAGGTATCAATTAACAGAGAAAAAGCCCCGCAGGCTTTTTACATCGCCGATTGGAACGATCTCGCTTTATTTCAATGGACAATCATAATTGAAAGCAGAACATTTCAAACGCGTTAAGTGTCATAAAGCTGTTTTTCTTTAACATTGGAAAAATGTCGCGTCTGTGATTTTTACTTATTACGAGCACACCTTGTTGCCACAATCTCTGGTTCTCCAATAAACTATTTGATTGTTTCAATTATAAAAGATAAAAAAAATATTTTTCCAATAAAAAGCAACTCCAACATAATTTAAATGCTAGAAATTTATATAAGATTTTCCGAAAACTTCACATTCACATAATATTAGGTATAATTTACAAAATATTATCCTAATATTAAAGGATAAGAAAAATAAGAATGTCTTTTCGAATCTAAGATACCGTATTTTTGAAAAGAGATGAGGCGCGAACGATACATAAACATATTCATGACTCGAATATTTCACAAATCCGCAATTTTACCCCAATCATAAGGCAACAAATATTCCCTCGCCCGCTCACCTCCACATAGAAAATCCTAATAAGAAATTGTAAATATTGCAGCTTGAGCGATTTAAAATGCATTACTTATCAACTATGCAGAAGCAAAATATGGTGACACCTTGAAACAGCAAGTAGGTATGCAGACTTTGAGTCGTCATGATAAAAACTAAGAAAAAAAACTTAATCACGCCGTCTCATGCAACAAGAAATTATTGATCTCTAATAATTATTTATGTAATATATTACCCACGCGCCGTACACTTGTCGTGATGCAACTAATTTACATTATACAGTCAATTATAGTCAATTTTCATTCGTCAGTAAACAAAGTATACTACATATATTCCAGCGATAATGATAAACTCGGCAGTTATTATAATGTACGCAATTTAGTGCAATATCTAAGAACAGAATGTCTCATTAATTGATGTGTCAGCGAGAAAGTAAAGAAGTCAAATTCTATCAAAAGTATATATGTATGAATGAAATATACCTACTAAAGTTTAGTTTTTTTCTAGTCTCTTTCCGCATTGACGATAACATCGTATTATTTTCGAAATGACAATAATTTTAACAAATTGCGAAAAACGAAGGAAATTACGAATATTTACTAACTTTATCGCAAAGTAATAATAAAAACATTTTACGATGTCTAGTATGTCACATTAAGTCGCAAAATTCTTCAAGATAAAGAACAACGATTAAGGTATGAGTGTTCACTTGTCTGGGGTCACTTTACTGCTTTTAAGGACAATACAATTAACTAAAAGTCATATCGCAATATATTCTTAAAAGCTATTTTGTCAACGTCACGCCTAGCGTTAAAAATATAAATTTTCAAAAATATGACTTTCAAAATATGACTCAAATTTATTAAATATTGTATTTCCAACAGTTTATTCGCTAATAAATCTTAAATAAATCAAAGCAACTTTTTGAAACAATTAAAATAAAACGTAATTAACTAAATATTATTTTCTTATATACACGAATAAATGTTTATCTATTATAATATGTAGACAGTTTAATAAGTCAGTAACTTTTTAAAAGGTGACTATGTTGAGAAATAAATGGAATTTTAATTAAAAAAAAGTAAAAAACAGTCACTTATCAAACTATTTACATAAATTATTATTCGTCATTCAACATAATTATTTAATATTATTGTACTAATATTAGATATCACGTTGTATTTCAACTACAGTGATGAATCTACGCGGAGTTTGGTTAAATAAATTAATTTGATTAAATTAATTAAATTTCTCAAATCATGACGATTGTGTTGTCACTTCATCACGTTTCTCGTATATCTTCCTAATCAGTAACTATAACTCGCGGTCTGATGAAGATCTTCCTTCGTCCTTTCTCACAGAGAGTATATGAGGTACTTTTCTTTTTGCGCGAAAACTATTTTTAGATCAACGGAGAGCTCTCCATTTGGCTCAGCGACACTTCTACGAGGAACTAAGGGAGCTGGTAAATACCGGAATGTACCGCGTGCCACCCCGTATAAATCCCGCGGGTGCAATCTTGTGGAAGTAGTCCATTATGGTGGAACGAACAGCGGACTCACCGGGATAACTCCGAGAAATCTCTTGGAGCTTACTTAAAGCGAAAACACGCTCATCCCACGAACCAATTGAATAACAGGTGATAATAATTTTGAAATTTAAATACCCTACAATAAATGGACAATTGGACGGCAAGCTACGCGAATATTAATATATTCCGTATTTATTCGTCAAAAATTATTTTTTCTTCTTTTCGCGTACAAAATAATCTGTACCCAAAATTTTCCTTTTTTACGACAAGATCATCTCGAAGAAAAAAACATGAGATGTGCTTAAATCAAGAAACGCTTATATCAAATTATTACTCGAAACTGAAGGAACAAAAAAGTAATTAATTTTGTTATTGGAAAATATTACGGTATCACGCACGCTCTGTAATATGCTCTTTCAATTGTATTTCATACAACTCTCAGATATACAATCAAATTGTCCATGAAAGAGTAATAACAACGCTAAACATAAAAGGACTTACGTTTATCTCCGCCTTTTATTTCTTTGGGTTCTTATGCGTCTCTTCTTCAAAGACTTCTCTCTCTTTTTTTCCTTTTCTCCTCGAAGAAATTTCCAAGACCAGTAATCTTCGCACAAATCCAAACAGCACAGCGTTCTCAGTTCAAGCTACAAAATTTGTTCTGTACTCGTCAAACAGAAGACCATGACTCCTGAACGATGATCTAAAAAAATAAACCAACCGCAATCAGAGATTAGATTAGATTAGATTATGAAACATCTCGGAAATATTATTTATCTGTAGTGTATAATAGCTGATGAAAAAATGTGTCTTAAGTACAACATAAATTTTGATAACAAAGTCTGTCGAATAGGTCTGATTTATCCGATAAATCTTGTGTACGATTTTTTGCTAGATCTTTTATATTCATATGAAGAATAAATATATGAAAATGTGTATGCACAATAAAAAAGAATTTATCAAATTGTTATAGTACATTAAAAGTTGCAAAATATGATTATTCTAAATATACAGTTTACATAGCATATCAACTTTGATTCTGTTGAAATAATTAATATCTATTTTATCGTTTTCTTCTATTAAACAACAGCTGGATGGAAAAACGAAAGATTGAATATCTATAGCTCTACCCACCATTGAATGGTTTGGGATGATTTTAAATAGATAAATTTCCGAAGCAATATCTCTCCATTGTAAAATATTTAGTAATTAAAATCGTAGTTTCCTTTTCTATCAGCAATACATACATACACATATACACAAAGTTATCACAAAATTCAAACAAATTTTGAAAATTTTTAAATTTGTATTTAAACAAAATTATATAAACTGTAAATACTAATCTTAAAATAATGATTCGAAGGCACACGAATGAAATGGCCACTGCAGCAAATTGATACCCCTTTTTTAGATATACTCTCTGATGACAAAAAGCTCTTTACTCATTGTCAGTATGCAGTCAATTTGAAGTGAGGAAATGGGAATTAAACGACAGATCCGGCGGCGTATTTAATGCAATGCGTAAGAGGACTAATGCGCACAGATTTACTGAACGTCGTCACGTAGTCTTCCGCACGCATTCAAGTGCGCGGCGAAACAAGTTAATTAAGAGGACCACCCACGGTAGTGTCTCCGTTTCTCGACGAGATTGGCAACGTGCCAAGTCGGTACTCGAGAGTCGATTTTCCGCTTTCGTATCGTCTTCAAACGCCTCAACGCCGATACTTCTCTCGGAATCGAGCAGCGATTTTCTTCTCTTTTTATAAGAAAGTTACAAAGTACATTTTCATTTCAATTGATTAATTTGACAGACAAGTCGAACGATTCGAATCTGATAGATTTCTTGAAATAAAATATAGAGAAAAAGATAAGAGATTTGCGGAACATAACCTTCGCGAATATAATTTTAACTATATAGACTAACAACTATGGGTGCGTTCCGAGTTACGCATGAAGCGCATGATGCATCATTTGTCTTTGTTGTTTACCAATTAATAAAGAAGAATAAAACGATACATCGTGCACTTCATGCGTAACTCGGAACGCACCTTCTATTGTATAAGAAAATAACATTTTTCTCTTTATTATTAAATCATATAAATTACTTAATTGTTTTTTAATCGATAAATAATTTTTCATTATTATTAAATGAAGAAGTAAAGATGCAAAATATGTAATTTATAAAAATATTCTTTACAAAAAAAATATATTTACGTGCATTTCACAATTGCATAGAATTATAGAACACCACATAATAATCACGTTCTAAATTAATATTGCAAAGAAAGTCAAAGAAAAAAAGTCGAAATCACATCTTGACGTCTTAATTGTCTTATAAATTCTTCCATTATTATTTCATATTCCGCCTCTTCTTATTACGTCTTCCTATCTTCTTTATTATTCTTCGTTATGCATCCGCAAACGCACAATGCGATTTCAAGCTTGACCTGAACTTTACGGGGAACAGCTCTTGCGCTAACTTTGTCAGGCTCTACCCAATTACGTAACCGACAAGAACTTCGATATGACCAACGAACCAACGGTGGTTTCTCGCTGTTTAGCGTCCGTAATAGAACTTAATACTATATTTTACGAGCTCGTAAAGCAAACGATTAAGATCACCACGGACCGTCATCGATGCTATTCGCTCGTCCTGTAACTGTATGTCGTAAAATTGGTAGCAAATTAAATGTTGTTCTCCAAAGGTTCTTTCCGTACTTTAATGCCACTGTTTATTGCACATGGAACCATCAAAATGTCCATTCAATTACAGATTTTAACTTGAAACTGCAGCTTTTATAGAGAGCATAAAGAATTAAAGTAAAATAAACTCTTTCATCATAGAGAATCTCAATTTTTGTACATTAACTCTCTTGCAAATTAAATCTTAAATTAAATTTCAGTGTTAAAATTTACTTAACTTTATAGTAAATAAACTCTTGATATAATCCGTCAATATACAGTTATACTGTTACAACGTGATCCCTTTCCGTTCGCTTACACCGTTTAGTTATAATCACACCATTTCCTTATCCAAGTTACAGAGTTAATACGTCGAAGTAACAACTTTCGCGACAACAATAACTATGGAACGGGTTCTCATTATACCGAGACTAGATTAGCACGGCAGTTCATTAAGTTTGCGAGCTATGTAGGATCCGGGACGATAAATATTTACGTACTGCCGAATGTGGGTTACGTTTGCATATCGCACCCGTGGAAGGATATTAAGAGCCGTTACGAATACTATGGATCGAGAACGACAGGGATACTACGCAGTCCCGATAAGGGACTTACTTCCTTCGACTCACGCATCACGAGTTATCCGTTTTTATCATTTTGCCTTTAGCTATCAGCTCCCATTAACCCATGTTACAAACCCACATCCGTTTGTCTTACATGACATTATTATTATTTACTTATTCAAATATTCATTACTGTCGATGTGTGTTCCAACATATCAAATTTGTTTCATCAAAAATTCACTTTTTTCTTAAAATTATCCTTTAATTATTCTTTATAACTCTATGGCCGGTATTCATAGTCGCGATTCTTACATTTAATACTGTCTTAAGTACAGTTTTAAAATGTCATGAACCAATCAGAGAGATGTATTATCTTTGCTGGTATACACAGTCGATTTTATATTTAAGACTGTCTTAAGGACAGTCTTAAGATGTCATGAATCAATCAGGGAGCATCTTAAGACATTACTTAAGACGGTCTTAAAATAAGGATAGACTATGAATATCGAGCCCTGAGACATCACTTAAAATCTTGAAATAAGAATGGATACAAGGACAGTTTGTAAAGCCCGTGCAAAGTTTAAAATATGGCACCACCAGTACGTATCAAAATTATTTTTAGTATCCGGCAACTCTTGGAGGATCACACACCAAATTTCAGTGAGATAGATCCATTACTCTGTGTTTGGCATTTATTTGAATCGATCAAGTACTGTGATTTGTGAAAAATGAATAAGAAAGAATTTCGTGTAGTATGACCACAAAATTTTTCGATTTATGCTTGAAGTCCAAATTTAGAGAATATGTAGGATGCGAAAGGACTTCGTACATTAAACAATTTTATGATCACACTATACACGAAATTCTTTTTTATTCATTTTTCGCAAATGACGGTACTTGATCGATTCAAATAAACGCCAAACACAGAGTAGTAGATCTATCTTACTGAAATTTGGTGTGTGATCATCCTCCACACTCAGAGAAAAAAGTCGTATCAGTAACTATAAATTTGTAGTGAAATAGCGCCTCAACTATATACATATTATTAAATTCTAATAAGAATACTAGATTAAGTGAACTAAGAAAATATAGTACATTAACCATATAAACAATTTAAATGGTTAATATTACTATATTTTCTTAGTTCACTTAATTTACTTATTGTTCTTATTAAAGCTTTATAATACATAGTTACAAATTTGTGTATGCATTTCTTATTTATTTTTGTCTTCAAGTTTGAAACCAATGCTGCGCCTTTTATTGTAAGCGAGTGGTTTCCTTCTTAGAGAGGAGAAACTGAACTCCGCTACGTCCCTCTGGTGACAAAGCCGCGTACTACTCGTACTGAGCGATCCTTTAAAAATTTTTGTCTAAACTAGAAAAATGTAATTGTTATATCTATTTGCATGAAGTCCAAGTAACTACTCAATGTAGTTGAGTCACTACTTCACTACCAATTAATAGTGCATACAATTTGTTACCGTGATTATATTTTTATAATATTCAGCACTACTTTAGTTTCTATTACTTTGTAAAACTAGTTACAGGTACTTCAATTGCAAAAGTTGCCAAATTTATAGTTGCTGGAACTATTTTATTTTCTCTCAGTGCAAGAGTTGCCGAATACTAAAAAATAATCTCGATACGTATTGGTGGTGCCATATTTTAGACTTTGCACGGACTTTTCCAACCGCTCTCATATTATGAATACCTATATTTATATTAAATATCTTTCTATCTTTTATTTCATATTATCTCTTTCAACTGTCTCGATACCCTAACGCTTTGTCGTTTCTAGTTTACGGAATAAAGTTATTAGCTGTAAAATATTAGCTCTACCTTTTAAGCCAATATTAATTCAACATTTATTCTATACCCGTCACAAAGAATACAAATATTTGAAATGCTATCGACTGGAAAACTTGGAAGAAATTTGAAAAAAAAAAGGTCGGTAGAATAAATCGCACGCTGAAAAATTATAGGATATATTCGAAATTCAATATACTTAGATTAGAGTGAGAAACAAGCTCTAGAAATGATCGATGACGACATAATTATTAATCATTTGGTACTTATCGCGAGCAATATCTCTTAGGAATCGTGTGGGAGAATGAATGGCCTGAATGCAAACGCCGATCGATCCAACAGTCAGATATGAAGAAAACTTGTGGGTGAAGAGATATACGAGCGGTAGAAAACTATTTTATTTCTATGGCAAAGAAGCCCTCTTCAATACTTATTCAACTGCTTATTCAGATTCAATTCTGATCGGACGATGAGCGTCTTTGCCGAGTTTTCAAGAGGGCCCCAATACTCGCCGAAGTGTGCTCGTCAGACCGCGTGACGCGTACAACAGAGATTCGTATAAGAGTAAAGGCTTGACATCCCCGGAGATGCCAAGAATTCTCAGAATCCCGTCTTCGTATTTTCTCGCCACTCTGTCACTCTGTAACATTTA